AGCTTTTTGGTTTTGGTTATAAAGGAGGTTTTGTTTTATTTGCTGCTAAAAAGAAACCTCAGAAGATGGGTGAAGAATAGCTTCATCATTGTTTAAAGTAAATGAAAAAAACAAGATCATACTTTTTTGATGTTTTAATAAATAAAAAAGTGAAAAAAATCAAAGACATTATCTGGCATTTTTTTGCTGTATCGAAAATATACCGAACCGTGACACCACTGTGTCGTACCGAACCGAACCGTGATTTTTGTGAACCGTTACACCCCTATTATACAGACATGGTGATAACAGTGAGAGGGTTCAGATATGTGTTGATGTGTGTGGACGCATTCTCAGGGTGGCCAGAAGCATGGCCCACAAAGAAGGAGGATGGGGTATCTGTGATAAAGTTTCTGATTAATCAGTATATACCACGACACGGGTTTCCCAACAGGATTCGGTCAGACAATTGGTCCCACTTTAGGAACGAGGACCTCCGGACGGTGGAGAAAGCGTTGGGATTGAGACATGCATTTGGAACTGTGTATCATCCGCAGTCCCAGGGAAAAGTGGAGCGAATGAACCAAACAATAAAACAAAAATTGGGCAAAATCTGCGCGCAGACCAAAATGAATTGGGTTGACGCTTTACCACTGGCAATGATGTCAGTGAGGTGTTCCATAAACAGGGGGACCGGGTTCACCCCTTTTGAGCTTCAGACAGGCAGGCAGTTCTCAGGACCCCAGAAAGGGTTGACCTGGACCCCCGACGAGAAGGGGGAGCAAAATCCTAGGGCATATTATGATTGTTTGCAAGGTCTCGTTGCAGATTTCTCTAAACAGATCCAGGAGGCGAGACCAGAGAACCAGCCGGCCAAACCACACACGGTGGAGTGGGTCCTCCTGAAAGTCATCAAACGGAAGTGGTCAGAGCCCAGGTGGACGGGCCCCTTCCAGGTTACTGAGAGGACGTCACACGCGATTCGTCTGAAAGGCAAAGGCGACACGTGGTTTCACTGGAGCCAGTGCGCGGCTGCGGAGGACCCAGGGAGAACCACAACAGAGATCCAGGAGGCCCTGAGGGAAGGAATCCAGAGCGTCAGTTCGGCTGAACTAGACGCAACTCAGGTCTCAACAGAAGTGGCAGAATAATCCCCTGACCTGAGCAACCAGAGCATGGTAGTCCACCCCTGCTCCAACGACCAGAAAGAACAAAAGCACCTCATCCACTGCCAGACAACACTAGGACCAGGATGAAGATCAAGATAAAAAAGGGGAATGTTGGGGGAAACAAGTGTGTTATGTGTGATGCTTAAAATGCTTAAAGTGTTAATGATTAGTAGTTTGTGAGCCATGCCAGCCATGGACCCCGAAGGGGGGCCGCACCTGTGGCGGGCTGGGAGTGGAATTTCCCTGAAGCTCAGGGTTTTTGCCCTCCTTCCTAGGCTGGATGGACAGGATTGTGTGTGGAACTCTTTGGAGTCCTAAAGGGGGGAGTGTGCACTATGTTCGAGGAAGTATGCTGTACTTACATTCCCAATAACACAGCACCTGACGGCTCAGTGACCAGGGCACTCGAGGGTCTCTGGACCCTCTCCAAAACGATGCATGCACACTCCAGGATCAATAACATATGGGATGCTTGGCTGACCTCGGCGTTCGGACAGTGGAAAGGCTTAATGGGCTCGCTTTTATTATCCTTTGCTACTTTTGCTGCGATTTTAGTTACTTGCAGGTGTTGTTGTATTCCCTGCCTGCGCGCACTGTCAGTTCGTCTCATCACTACCGTGATAGAGAAGTGGGATGGCACCTATGCGTGGATGATGCCTCTCCTGCCTGTCGGGCCGGAGAGGGGCAAAGGTCATTTGGACAGCTTTGAGCTACACCTCCCCCACCAATAGGATGATCTCCTTGCGGAGATCAAAAGGGGGAAGGCAAAATATTACTAATCAGCATAATCAGGGTGATCTCCTTGCGGAGATCAAAAGGGGGAAATTGAGGGAATAATTCTATAAGGGGAAATAAAGGGAATGATTCTATAAGGCTGTAACTAATCAAAACGAGAACTGACTGGCGCGCTGGCAAGGCAAGGTTACCTAATCGGAACAGATAGGGGGGGGCGACAGAGAACATCAGCAAGCCCCTACTTGTCTTTTAGCCTTCCAGAAGGACAACTACGAACCGACTAACGAGAGCAAGTGTCAAACATGTGGTTGTCACGTAGACGGAAGGTACCGAGAGAGGGGGGGAGATGCCCAAAGGGCTTTAAAAGGGATACAGCTGATACATATGGCAGAGCCTCCCTCCTGTACATGCTGAATGTATGTCAGACGGCCGCTCCCGGATTGCAATCTGTCAGAGAATAAACCGATGATTTGCAGCTTCTCCCCGTGTCAGCTATGAATCTCTTCTCATCCACGGACCCGGTGGAGACGGAGTACTCCAACAGGGTGCGAGAACTAACTCTGCCAATTTTGCCGGGCAGACAAAGCTCCACAGGTGACGGAGTCTCTCGACAGGGTTGGTGGTCAAGGCAAGGCCACTGGGCAGAGGAAGTCCTGTAGCATGAGACGGCAGCTCCCCCACTGCCCCTCACTTGTTTGCCTGATGGCTATGATGCGGGCTCTGGGCAGAAGTGTGCTTGATGTTCCTTCATGTTGATGTTCGGTAAATGTTTCGTCACACAACTTAGTTTTGGGCCAGCCTTGCCAGGGGGCTGTTGTCTTTGTCAGTGGCCATCACCTCCACTCTTTCAACCTCAGAGAGGGCCTGCTTCATGCTGCGTGGGACCAAAAGGTTGTTGATGCAGGCAGTCTGGAAGGAGTGGGGTATGCATTGCTTGCAGGGCCAAATCTTCCAGCACATTTGCTGGTACTGAATTTGCTGAATACTTCCAGCTGCTCCTCTCCGTGCTGGCGTCTGCCCACAACCAGGTGACAGGCGCTCATCTCTCCTCTGCCACTCCCCAACCACTGCTTCAATGTGACTTTCAGGTCTGCCAGAATGAAACAGGCTTTTAGCACAAAGTCTAAGAGAGCTTGGAGGGCTCCATATTTGAGCAGAAAGCCCAGGTGGATGGCCTTCACTTACTCGTCCCACACATTGCTTGGGTTGCTCCCCACTGTACTTCAGGAGCCAAGCAGCCTGTGTCATCCTCCACTGGCCATCCTGTGTTCGTCTCACCCGTTTCTTCAACAGTCTCCATCTGCCACTGCTCAGTTGCCTCCTCAGCCCACCTTCCTCGCAATAGCTCAAGCTGAAGTTCTATTTCTTTTACATCGGGAAAATGGTGGGGATGTCACTAGGTACATGATCACACACATGGTAGGTACTTACAAAAAGGGCTGAGATATGTGAGGAGCAAGCAACAGACACATATGACACAGGTACACTACATGGACAATATTGTATTGGGACACACCTCTTAATCATTGAATTAGGGTGTTTCATTCAGACCCATTGACCCACAGATGTAAAAAAAAATCAAGCCCCTAGCCATACAGTCAGGTTTAGAAACATTTGTGAAAGAATGGGTCATTCTGAAGAGCTGTTATTCCAAGCATGGTACTGTCATAGAATGGGGAAGGCCCTTTTCTGTTCCAGCATGACTGTGCCCCAATGTACAAAGCAAGGCCCATAGAGATATGGTTGCACAAGTTTGGTGTGGAAGGACTTGACTGGCCCATATAGAGCCCTGACCTCAACCCCATCAACCACCTTTGGGATGAACTACAGCGGAGATTGTGAGCCAAGCCTTTCAGCCCAACATTAGTGCCTGACCTCACAAATGCTTTTCTGGGTGAATGGGCAAATATTTCCACAGACACACTCCAAAGAAAGCCTTCTCAGATGAGTGGCCACTGTTATAGCTGCAATGGGGTCACCAACTCCATATTGAAGCCTATGGATTTAGAATGGAATGTTATAAAAGTTCCTGTAGGTATAACAGCCAGGTGTCCCAATACTTTTATCTATATAGTTTAAATACATTAGTCACAGAAACACAGCACACATTATTTACAATTACACACAGACAGGGGCTATTTAGAGATCCGCTCAAGCATGCCAGGATATGCAAGTTTGTTTGGTACTCAGGACCTGGACATGCAACTAAATTGGAGTGCCTGAATTGACTGTATGTGTGAATGTGTGTGCACCCGTGTGGTTGGTTCCTGCCTCACACCAATTACAATGTATACAGTCATGGAAAAAAATTATGAGACCACTCTATATTTTTAAACAAATCTGCATTTTTAAATCCTGTTTTAATTGTGGTTCTGCAGGCTGAAAGGCTAGCAGTACACAATAATGTGAAGCAGGAAACACTGGGAACAAACAGAAACCAGGCAGGTAAAGGACGAAAGCAACTTTCAGATACCAGAGATCACCGTTAACTTATGTGACAGTTTCTCATGAATCACAGGATGGTACTGTCATAGAATGTAGAATTTGTAATGTACATTTTAATTGAATTTTTTAGCCTCAAGCTTGTTTTATAAACAAAGCAGTACAATGTCCTATAAAGACATGAATGACATTAATGAGTACTTCTGGATATCAGGTAAGTGAAATAGTTCACCATTAAACAAATCTACAAAAGACCTTAGGTTTTAATATGTAGTGCTAGAACAAATTGCTGTTGCGAGCCAGTTTCCAGCTGGATATATTGGAAGCAAATGACTGATTAACTGGAAAAGGTCACAGTAGCACTTGAGGGTTAGAGATTGTGGGATGAGTTACAACAGAAAGATGATCAGTGAGCACAGCATTAATGCAGCAATGGCAAGCCATAGAACGGGACCAGCAATCGTAGCGCTATTGCAGTGTCACTGGTGGCAGGCCATAGAACAGGACCAGCAAGTGTAGCGCTAATGCAGTGTCACTGGTGGCAGGCCATTGAACGGGACCAGCGAGCACAAGGCTAATGTAGTGTCACTGATGGCAGACCACAGAATGGGACCACTGAATGCAGAACTAATGTAGTGTCACTGACAGCAGACCAAGGAACAGGACCAGTGAGCCAAGCTGAATACAGAAGAGAGAACATTCATTAAACAAAAAGTGTAAACTTTTATTAGCAACCCAAATGATTACCTGGATTGTAGACATTTCCCAGCATGCTTTGGTTTGGAAGGTCAGAGACAGCAACCACTGAAAGATAGTCTCACAGACAATCTGTGGGGCCGTATTACAGGAATGAACTACATCCATGATATAAACACTGGGGAGTATTAACTTTAATGAACCAACTTTAATGAACTTTACTTGAGGACTTCTACTTAACACCTAATTTAAGGATGAGACATTTAAGGAAAAAGGGTCTGTATTGGGCTTCTGAAACCACAACCAAAGCTTCTAAAGCCAAAGTCGCATGGTGCTCTGCGCTGCTGGTTCCTCTAAACATCCATGCAACATTGTAAGAAAAACTCAATAATCACATTTCTGAAAACTTGCAGGGTGCTGTTTGATGGCCTGATCAGCATCTGGACCTTCAAAGCACTCCTTAATCCTTAGATAAAGCACAGTGAGCCACTCTGTGCTGCCTGCCATGTGCACCTGTAACATCTGTGTGTTGGCAATTCACTCACAGCGTTCATACACACTTTTATCTAGACCAACATTTTCCCCTTTATACAGATATTTTACCAGAAAAGTTATTCTTAACCTTAAGTACAACAAAACTTATCTGCAAATGTCAGACAGACAGACAACCATAAATGAAACACTTTGCTAAGTAAGCAGAGTCTAGCACTGCAGACGTTCAGGAAACATACATGAGAGAGATGAGTTTAATAAAAGAAAGAATCAGGGCACACAGGGTGAAAAGTAACATTAAAAGGCACATTCTGGACTCGTTACTGACCGGGGAATACCTTTAGGAGACAGGTATTCTGAAAGACGACAGCAGCTTTGTTTGCAAATACTAATGTGCTTGCAACACAGAGTAAATGGGAATAAGTGTTTCTGGGACTAGATCAGAGAAGCATCCATCACAGTGTGCAGGCAGCTATGCGGTGCAGCCGTACTCACACCAGTGTGGTAAGTTTGTCAATGAGGTCGTCGATTGTGTACACAATCAGCTTGATGTCTTCCTTCTCAGACAGACGGTGCTGTCCTTCTTTACGCAAAATGACATCCACATCAGTGCTCAGCACACGCTCAGCCACCTGCATGGATACGTGCCAGGGCACATCCTGGTCCTTGAGCCCATGGAGCAGCCGCACAGGGCAGGTCACCGGGATGGGGCCCTGTAGGATGCAGTGATTCTCTGCTTCTCGGATGAAGTCCATGCTGATTCTGTAGACACCTTCCTCATTGTATTTGGTTGCTAGTGTCCACTCCCCCTTCTCTTCCGCCTCCTTCTTCACCTTTGGCACAAACAGCAGTACCATCACTTGGCTACATTTGCACAACTCCCCCCCAACCCCCACTCCCACAACTGTGCCGTTGGATTTCCAAATGCAGAAAACCCCTATATGGTACAGAGTAGGAGGTGGTCACAGTCACAAGCGGTAGAGGACATACCTCCAGAGGAAGGGCTTTGAAGGCTGTGACGAAGTGGTCCACTGCAGTGCCAATGCCCACCAGGGCGGCGACCTTCTCAGGTCGTGCAATGGCTGCCAGAAGCATAAGCCAGCCACCCAAGCTAGAGCCAACAAGGATCTGCAGCAGAGCAACACAGCAAATTCTGAGGGTGTGTATCATTGCTGTTCATGTACCATGTTACCCCCTATGTTCAGAATAGGCCTGTCACAATAACTACTTCTGTTGATCAATACATTATCCCAGAAATAATTGCAATAAATGATTTTATTGTCATATTAAGATAATTTTATACTACTGACATAATGATAATATAATAGCATAATAGTGCAAGTATATCCTTTAAAAGAGCAATGAACTTTTAATCCATAAGAATATTCAGACATTGGAGTTGGAATGTCAAAAAATGTAAATATCCTAAATAAAACCACACAACTGTATTACATATTAAAACATTTGACAAAGCGGTCTAGGAACTGTTAGGTCGTTCATTTACTGGCAATATACTGCCAACCCAGTTCTGCGGAGGGCACTGCTCAGTGAAACAAATGAACCTCAATCAATCACTGGCTAGGGGAAAAGTAACAGCAAGTCAGATTTGGAGAATGGTTGACTGAAAAAGTCTGGAAATACCAGCATTTATATGATTCCTCGCTACGGGATTATAAAGACTCCCAGATGGCAACAAACAACAATAAATAATGTTTGTACTGCAACGCTATATTCCCATGTATGTGTTTGCGACAGTTGTATTAGGACTGTGTATCACCAGGCCTTGGGCAAGAAGAACCATATCACAATACAATACAGCGATACACAAACCAGTTTGTAACACATAAATAGTTAAACTTGTATGTATTAACTAACTCCTTATTATCTGGTAATTTTCAGTGTTACTGACCATTTTATCACAAATTTGTGATAATGGAATACAGATAGTGTCATTAGTCTTCATTAAATATATTTAAGGTATGGTGATTAAAGTTCATATAATAATGTGTTCCATATCATTACACTTGTCTGACAGTAGAAATGCCTTTTGATTTTGTTTTTGAACAATTGATGGTGATATTCAGAATATATGGAACTAGTTAGCTGTGCAACAAATTAGTTCTGCAACAAGAGAGCTAGCTATAACAACAGCTGCTGAAAAACAAAACAAGGCTGGTCAAAACCATATCTGTTGTGCAAAAGTATAAACATCAGGCATCCAAATTATGCATGTTGAAATATTACTGAACATAGCAATAGAATTCACAAAGATTTATCTAACAGCAATCTTGATAAAACTACTTAATAGTATTCAAATTCTTAAATAAAACTAATCAGAAACATGATTAATCTGTTTAAGAAACGAGGTTTAATGATAACATACTTAACATTAAATTAAATGAACTTGCAGAGATATCTACATAATGTTTATGTTTGGTTTCATACACTACTGCTGGGAACGTCTGGCGGAATCCCCTGTCAGGAGGAGTTTCAACTCCTACCTCCGGCAGAACTTTTCCCATGTCCTGGGGGAGGCGGGGGACATTGAGTCCGAATGGGCCATGTTCCGCGCCTCCATTGTGGAGGCGGCTGACCGGAGGTGTGGCCGTAAGGTGGTCGGAACATGGCCCAGAGTTCCTTAAGGCTCTGGATGCTGTGGGGCTGTCTTGGTTAACACGCATCTGCAGCATCGCGTGGACATCGGGGGATCACACTCCTCAGCCTCCCTGGTAAGGTCTATTCGGGGGTTCTGGAGAGGAGGGTCCGCGAACCTCGGATTCAGGAGGAGCAGTGTGGTTTTCGCCCCGGCCGTGGAACAGTGGACCAGCTCTATATTCTCCGCAAGGTTCTGGAGGGTTCATGGGAGTTTGCCCAACCAGTCTACATGTGTTTTGTGGACTTGGAGAAGACATTCGACCATGTCCCTCGGGGAGTCCTGTGGGGGGTGCTCCGGGAGTATGGGGTGCCAGGCTTCCTTTTAAGGGCTGTTCGGTCCCTGTATGACTGGTGCCAGAGTCTGGTCCGCATGGGCGGCAATAAGTCGGACTTGTTTCCGGTGAGGGTTGGACTCCGTCAGGGCTGCCCTTTGTCACCGATTCTGTTCATAACTTTTACGGACAGAATTTCTAGGCGCAGCCAGGGCGTTGAGGGTGTCCGGTTTGGTGACCTCAGGATTAGGTCTCTGCTTTTCGCAGATGATGTGTTCCTGTTGGCCTCATCGGACAGTGACCTTCAGCTCTTGCTGGGACAATTTGCAGCCGAGTGTGAAGCGGCTGGGATGAGAATCAGCACCTCCAAATCTGAGACCATGGTCCTCAGCCGGAAAAGGGTAGAATGCTCTCTCCGGGTCGGGGATGGGATCCTTCCCCAAGTGGAAGACTTTAAGTATCTCGGGGTCTTGTTCACGAGTGGGGGGACGATGGAGCGGGAGGTCGACAGGTGGATCAGTGCGGCGTCCGCAGTGATACGGACGCTGCATCGGTCTGTCATGGTGAAGAAGGAGCTGAGCCAAAAGGCGAAGCTCTCGATTTACCACTCGATCTACGTTCCTACCCTCACCTATGGTCACGAGCTGTGGGTAGTGACCGAAAGAACGAGATCGCGAGTGCAAGCGGCCGACATGAGTTTCCTCCGCAGGGTGGCTGGGCTCTCCCTTAGAGATAGGGTGAGGAGCTCGGTCATTCGGGAGGGACTCAGAGTAGAGCCGCTGCTCCTCCGCATTGAGAGGAGTCAGATGAGGTGCCTCGGGCATCTGCTTAGGATGCCTCCTGGACGCCTCCCTGGTGAGGTGTTCCGGGCATGTCCCACTGGGAGGAGGCCCTGGACACGCTGGAGGGACTATGTCTCTCGGCTGGACTGGGAACACCTCAGGATTCCCCCAGAGGAGCTGGATGAAGTGGGAAGTCTGGGTTTCCCTGCTGAGACTGCTCCCCCCGCTACCCGACCTCGGATAAGCGGGAGAAAATGGATGGATGGATGGATCGCAGGGTTCATGAACGTAATTTTGGGGTGGGGTGGGGGGGGGGGGATATTTATGCCTGAATTTTAAACATGGTTCGCAAACTCCTGAGAGTTCAGATGTTCATTACAGCCCTAAATGTTTTATCATTTTGATTTTTTTATTTCGTTTTTATATTATTATATTCATTTGAAATCTATTTTAGTTTTACATGTGATTTCATTAGTTTTTATTTTAAAGATGTAAATGTATTTAGCTGTTATATTTTACTTTAGGTTTTCCTAACTTTATTTCTAGGGATAGACCTAAAATTGTAGGACTTTGCTGAATTCTAATACCATCAGTATTAACTGGTCTATATTCTAATGCAAGGATGAGATTTTAAAGATGTGATGTGTCAAGTTAAATAAAGTAATAATGAAAACAATTCCAGCAAAAAGAAAAATAGCAATCTTGCAGGTAACGCTTATTACCCTCCTAATAACATTAGAACCGCCTTTTCCCACGCCAATGAACAAGCAAGAACTACTTCGGTGTATGCAGCCCTTTTGTTTGCGCTATTTTGTTGTTAGCTGCTGTTAACACTAATAACACTCAAAAAACCGTAATGTTCATAACAGAGTGGCTGTTCTGTCCTGAAACCTTAAAGCTGGAAATTTTTAAACGTAGTATGCATTTTATAAAATGTTGAATAAATAGAAGTCGTTTATTGGTGATTTCATGTTGGTCGAAGTTTCCGCTTTTTAACAACTGTATACGGTTATTTTTATACGGCAAATCTATATTCCATTCTGAACTTAAAATTAGCTGCATCAAAAACGTTACGGCAGTTTGCAAACCCTACAGACTATTTACAAGGTAATAAAACTTATATACATGTAAATGTGTGTGCACAACAGAGAACAGAAAATCTCACACCATGCAGCTGACCAAAGTTGCGAACCCTGCATTTTATTTTAAACGAGAAGTAAAATGCAGTTTTCGACTGAAGCAGCTTATCATTCCTTTGCTTTGTTACTCGGACCAATACAAAACGAATGATTAAACATTATATGCGTCTCTTTTTGTATGTTTTCTAAATAAGACCACATCCCATACCTATACCCAACTGTAATAGCGATTAAAGCGATCTTTTCTTTTAGTATTTATGTTAAAGCAAGACTTTTATTTTATTCCTGTTGTGGGATTAATCTTTGGAAACCCTTAAATTTAATAAGCACAAAAACATGACATAAACACGACTGTATTGTGGGTTTTACGGCTTTGTTGGAGGTCATCGACTCCGCTGCTTTGAGAATTACTGACTGTCTCATTGATGTTTTGATGGGTTGCCGGTATACTAATGCTATTGCCTATTAACAAAAACCAAAGGTATGATACGCTGAAGTACACTCACCTAAAGGATTATTAGGAACACCATACTAATGCGGTGTTTGACCCCCTTTCCCCTTCAGAACTGCCTTAATTCTACATGGCATTGATTCAACAAGGTGCTGAAAGCATTCTTTAGAAATGTTGGCCCATATTGAT